TCTCATGACACAATAACTCATGAATAACACACAATAACACTTGAATAACACGGGAAATATTCCCGACAGAGAAAAAAACTGCGCAGTAACACGGGGAATATTCTCTCCCGTGTCATTCTTGTGTTATTGTGTGTTATTCATGTGTTATTGTGTTATTATAACACCAGGAATATTCCCTGGACACAATAATACATGAATAACACACAATAACACATGAATAACACGGGGGGAATATTACCGTGTTACTGCGCCTTTTTTTTTTTCTGTGTCGTACCACACAATAACACATGAATAACATGGGGGGAATATTACCCGTGTTACTGCGCCGTTTTTTTTTCTGAGTCGTGCGGGATATCGTGGCGTGATTTCATTGGCTACGCACGTTACTCTACGTGCGTAGTACTAATGTAATATTTTTCCCATATGAATACGAGGTCTTTCTATACATAAGAGAACATAGTAAAGAAGGGTTCAAGAAGAGGAAGACACAATGAATATTAAAAGCATAATTGATATATCGAGAAATGATTTAAATCTATTATTTAAGTTATAGTGACTTAGCATCTCCCTTCAAAATGACAAACTTTGCTAGAGAGTTAGTTGTTGCTAAGATATTTGAATCTGTAAGTTGGGGGGTTTTTAATAATCTTTTAGTTGATCTATAATATTGATGTGATGAACTAAAGTGTATTTGGGCGTGCATGAAAATCTAAGTTGTTAGTGTGAGCGATAGTAGATGTGTTATAAAAAAAAAGAGTAGTTGGCTGATTTAATGAATTTGAAAAAGCTTGTAACAATCTATTTAACCATACAATGTTAGCTATTGCAGTTGTTAGAGCCCTGTATTCAACTTCAGTTGAAAATTAGACAATTGCTATTTGTTTTTTGACAAATCAAGAAATAAGAGTTGATCTAAAATTGACACAAAAGTTTGATGTAGACTTCCTGTCAGTAAAATCCTCAACTTGGTCAGAATTAGTATTATGTGATCTTTGTGTAGACTTTCATATGTATACATTGTTTTAATGCAAGGATCAAAATGTTTTTCAAATAAATTCTTAAAATCAAGACAATTAATAACTGTTCCATGTTTATATTTAAGTAAACCCAAGAAAATTTGGAAATTATTCCACAAAGATCACAAAATACTTGTAATGTTGGGTAGATGGAGTTGGGGAGGGTCCCCAAACAATTGAGTGTACAATATGAAGTGGTTGAGTAGCAGGAGCGAATGAGGACTTGAAGGAGATTTTATGATTATTAGACAAGTTATAAGAAGTATATTGAATGTTATTAGTAGTGTATTGTAAGCTTGGAATGCATTTTGAAGGAACATTATGAAACTTAGGTGAAAAAGGACCAAAATTTTATTCCAAGGATTTGACACTTGTTATAGATAATTAAAGCAAGATCTTTACATCCCTTTCTAGTGACATGATTGAGTGGTTGTATTGGATACAACCATTGTATGCATAGTTCTTTAAAGAGAAGTTTGTTGGTCTGCAGATCCTTAATTAAGTATCCATTAGCAATGAAGATAACTGCACAATAATTATTTGTTGTCAACTTTGCACAGAATGTACATTGTAAACAAGATTAGACACATGATGAATGTTTGAGACAACTCTTTTGAATAGGTGTAAGCAGTAGTCCTTGGCCTGTATGAGCTATGTATAGTTGTTGTTGATTTCCTACCGAAATAAAGCAATCACCTTCAAAGTTACTTATTTGATTTTGATATGCAGTAAGATGTTATGTTGCTCGCTGTCTAAAATCTAACTCCCGTTAGGACTAGTTGAAACGTTGAAGTCTAAAGTAAAAGAAGACATTGTTTTTGTCATGTCTATGCCAACATTTAAAGATAGAATGTCCAGCACTGTTGAAAATTTTACAGGTGATATGAGAGGTTTTGTGATTGGTTCTTGTCTCAGACATAGTTTGATTTCTATTTGAACTTGAATTTTTGAATTTTTATTTTTATAGTAACCAGTGATATAAGAATTCTAAGCATTTGATGCTGCTATTGAACTGTCTATTTTTTGCACGACTTTGAGCTACAATCAGAACAGTGTTGTGTGAGTGTTGGGCTTCTTTAGAAGCTTAATGCACCATATTTAATTCTTCACAACATAAGAGAGTATGCAAGTACTTATCAAAACTAATATGTTGTAGATTGACTCTGATCAAAGTCTTGAAGGCATAATAACTTGAAGAAAGTCCATTAAGAGTGTAGAGGATTAGATCTACACCGTTAAAAATGACTCCTACGGTGCCTAGAGGATCCACATTATATGCAATTTCATAATGATAATGAGTCATGGTTTTGTCCCCTTTTGAAATGTTACGTAACTCAATTTTCAATTTTAAAATGCAAGATCAATTGGTGAATTGAAGTATGTGCTTCAAAGTTGTCCAAATACAAGTCAAGTTTCAAGGTTAAGAATATAGGGAAGGGTGGAGGAAGAAATTACATAGTAGAGCGTAACAAACAAATTTTGATCTATGAAGATCCATTTGCTATAATCAAAATTCAAAATTTCAACGCTAGAAGAATCATTGATAAATTTGTTTGGTCGATTACAAGTTCCATCAAGAAAGCTTTTGTAGCAATTAACACGAAATAGCTTTATCACCTATGCTCTCCATGTGGGATTATTATCGGTAGAAAGATGAGCATATATGATACTTTTTATGTTTGTCAAAAGAAACTTTAACTGAGAAGGAACTAGTTGATCACTTTGAAGATTACTGATTGAAGAAGTTGACCTAGCAATGTTGATTGAGAAATTTGAGTGGGAACTCATTATGAAGATGAAGTTGAGAAGAAACAAAATGATGGAATAAATATGATTAAGCCAGAAGATGAATGCCTGAGGGCTTTTTTCTCTGATACCATGTTAGAGCTCAAAAATCATTTTTTTAAAGTATAACTCGAAGATCATTTAGAAAAGTATTTATTATATCATTGATCTAATCATATGAATACATGGTCTCTTTATTTATAACAGAACATAACGAAGAAGAGTTCAAGAAGAGGAATATAAATATGAATATACATAATAGAATTGATATATCTTGAAATGAATATAATCTGTTAATTCAATTATAATGACTTAACATTATGCACACAGGTATGGCAATTTTTTTAATCCAAAATAAAGAGCACAAAGTTTGGCAGGAGAATCTCCACTACACGTAAAATTTAACACACGCTAAAGAAAACTCAGGGGATCCACCTCTTAGGGATGAAACTCATGCAAAAGAGCTCCAAAAAAAAAAAACAAAACACGCCTAATATAAGAACAATGAGCCACCAATAGTGCAAAAAGATCCAATAGGAACTTGCACGAAGCTAAGAAAGAGCAGAAACAAACCAAACAAAGAAGCTCCGGGAGAAGCTAGGATGCCAAAATGAAGGATTAGATAGAAGAAAATTAAAGAAAATGTAATCATAAAAAAGAGAAACAGAAAGTTAAGGAAAAAAAAAACATGAAACCAACCTGAAGTACCAAAGTAATTCAACAGGGATAAACATAAGATTATATCATTAGATCAACAAGGATAACATTTTACGACTTGAAGGGAGCAAAAAATGGTGCCAAGAATAACAAATGGAGATCAACAACAAGCAAATGAAGAACACTCAACAATGGCTAAAAGAGCACGACACTGCCACCATGATCAAAAAGGCAACTCCACAAAGAAAGCCACAGATTCCAAAAACACTGAAGAAAAGAGAAAAACCACAACAATATGAAAGCACCACTCACAACCTAAGGTTGATTCTAAGCTATCTAAACAAATCATATCTTAATTCTAAATATCATAATTAGTATTTATCATAAAAAAACAATAAAAATAAATAAATAGTTATCACAATGATCAAAGAAGGTTTAAATCTTTGTTTGTGCCAACTAATAAGTTTTTTCTCTTGTAGTATTCAGTTTGAATTCGGAATTTCCAAAGCATAACCTAAAAGAATAGATTTTTATGTAAGTGGTTAAGAAAACCTTGAATTTTTAATTTAGTGGCCATCAAGAGCCCTTATATATTAGTATAATATAATGTAAATACTGAAAAATATGACACGAACTGCCTTGAGCTGGCCGCCCATTTATTTAAATAAATATAAAACTTTATTTTAAAAAAAAAGACATAAAAAATCAATTCTGAAAAGTCAATTTTACGTGACAAGTCAGATCATATACTTCCTAAAATATATTAAACACCCTAAATTAGTACTCAATCTAATTTTTCATGAAAATATTTTTCCAAAGCATAACATTATTGTATTCTTACATATCTAATACTTAAAATATTTTTTTTTTACATTTCTAACACTAAAATCTTTCATAAAAAATCAAAAATATTATTATTTTGACATTTAAAAAAATAAAATAAGTTGAAATTTAAATATTAGATATGTAAATACATAAAATTTGGTGATATATATATAAATCTTCCTATATATAAATATTTTAGATTTGCCCCTGTCCAGATCCAAACACCATAGTCTAAAATACAACTAAAAAAAGTCAAATAAATTTCCAATTTCCATTAATTAACTTTTACTTATATATATATATATATATATATAAAAGTGTTGTGGGAGAAGGTCAAAAGTCCAAACTTTTAACGTATCTCTGAATACATATCACCCAAACTCATATCTTTTCATTCTATCGAAGGGTTCGTTTGGGGCAGCTTATAAGTGTGGGCGGTACCGTTTGGTTCGTGCGTTTCGCCAGCTTATCCTAAACAGTGTTTGGGTTTTTACACTAAACGCAAACCGCGGGTTGACCCCTACGGCCGGCCCGCGGGCCGCATTTCAGAATAAACAGCTTATTCTGAAACGTACAAGCTGCCCCAAACAGACCTTAATTCTCAATAATTTTTTCATGACACACATAAATACATCAATTTGATAGTTCAAAAAAATTAACTGGTGATTCATTTATAAATATCAATACTTCCAATGAGCTTCAGATGCCTCTCAAAACTTCGCTGCGACTTCAAGCCAAATTACGAAACCAATTAGAAGAAAGATTAAAAACCAATTAGAAGGAATCTAATACTTAATCCACCTATAAAAACCCAACAAGATCTGCAAAATTCTCTGACCACAGCACAAACTATCAGAAGTTCAGAGAAGTTGGGAGAGGAATCAAGTGAACGAAGAAGATGGAACGAAGCTTTTCTTCCAACGAAACTCATGTTGTTGAAACAGTTCAGAACACCACAGCCATGGCTTCCCACGTCCGTCCATATCATCTTCCCAAAACCTTCACACTAACTTTCCCTCCTTTCCTTCTCAGAAAGGTAAGCTATAGATTCTACTTCCATAAACTTTCTCAATTTTCCGCTCTAAGATTCTTAATTGCTTGAAAATTGATTCTAATTTTCGTTTGGATCCAAATAAACAAGCTAAGTTACGAGTCAAAATTTTGATTTGAATATTTCTCGAGTCAATTTTGAGCTGAAAATTAGATCTCTGACAGCCCAAGTGAAGTTAAGCCTATAAATTTAACGAATTCAGCTGGAAGATCGTTAATTTCTTGAAAATTGATTTGAATTTTGACTCGGATTGAGAGTGGATCGAAATAAACTCAGGGGAACGAGCTAAGCTATGAACTAAAATTTTAGATTAAACGACCAAGCCCGATCTGAAATAGGATGGTTAACAGCCCCACTTTCAGTATTCATAATGTTATTCGACCAAGCCCGATCTGAAATAGGATGGTTAACAGAAAGTATTCATAATGTTAGTTTTTGATGTATAGGTTGTATCCGAGATGATAGCGACTTTCCTGCTGGTGTTCGTGACATGTGGCGCGGCGGCGTTGAATGAGAGCGGCGGCGCAAAGGTGTCGCAGTTGGGGGCGTCGATCGCCGGCGGTTTGATCGTGACGGTGATGATATATTCTGTGGGGCATATTTCCGGAGCTCATATGAATCCGGCGGTCACGCTGGCCTTTGCGGCCTCGAAGCATGGACAGTTTCCATGGATTCAGGTGATGATGATCTGTAGTTATGGTTTGATGAAAATTATATTTTAGTTTTATAAGCTTATCAAGCGAAATATTCATGAGAAAAATATGTATTTTAGCTCCTAGCTCGGTTTTTGATGCATGAATAGGGCTGTTAATTATCTTTTTTCCGAGTTGAGTTGGGGTCGGCTCGAACTCCTAGCTCGGTTTGTTGACTTGGACTTGACCCAGAATTTGAAATTAATTTTTGGTGATTAATGATCTTCGAACTAAATAAGTTGAATTCACAGCCCTAATTAGGGGTGTAAATGAGTCGAGTCGAGTCGAGCTCAAGCCATCCTCGGCTTGAAATTGTGCTTGATTAATTTTATTGAGTTTGAGCTTAAGCTAAACATGTTAGCAGCTTGCCCATGAGCTAAGCTTTAGCAGTCCTGCAAATCATTCAGGTCCCCTTCTACTGGTCGGCCCAAATAACCGGCGCGACTATCTCTTCGTTCGCCCTCAAGGTAATGCTGAATCCTATAACAAATCTGGGGACAACGACGCCTTCTGGCACGGCGCTTCAAGCACTCATCATGGAGGTTGTAGTAACCTTTTGCATGATGTTTGTAGCTTCTGCAGTAGCCACAGATACTAGAGCTGTGAGTTTCTTCATCTTTAACAACTAGATTATGTAATATTGATTGATTGTGTTTTCTTTGTTTGAACAAACATGCAGGTAGGAGAGTTGGCAGGTTTAGCAGTTGGTTCTTCAGTTTGCATCACCTCTATTTTGGCTGGGTAATTAGAAGAGAAAGTAATATAATAACTTGGTTTTTATTCATGTATAAATCATGATGCAAATTAAGAAAATAAGTATATGAAAAAGCAAATAGCTCAATGCATATTCATTTACAATTAAAATAAAACTGATTTATGCATGTTTTTTAGCTTTTTAAAAGTTAAAACAATGGTATGTTATGTGACATATGAGATTTGGGTCGTATAAATGTAAAAAGTATATTTTAGACATTAGATACCTATATATATATATATATATGTATGTATTCCCAAGGATAAAAAGCTAAAAATAAATCGAGTTCATATGATTTGACTTAAATTCAATTATTACAGACCAATATCTGGAGGATCGATGAATCCTGCAAGGACTCTCGGGCCAGCACTTGCCAGCAAGCGATTTAACTCGCTCTGGGTCTACTTCTTGGGTCCGTTCATCGGCACGTTGTTGGGTGCATTGTCTTATAACTTCATAAGACTCGATAAATTTCAGAAATCAGAGCCTCAAAAACTATCATCTTTCAAGCTTCGTCGATGGGAAAATGATGAAGTTGCTAAGCTTAATAATTCAAGCATTCCTAATTAGGCTAAGGAGCCATATAGTCTTTTAATGTAAGTTTGGCTGTTCTAAGATTGATGAAAAATATGTTTATATTTGTCTTACAACATAAGAAATTTGTTGAAATGTGAACAAATCTATTGTCTGAAGTAACGAACAAGGCCTATAGTTAACACTAGCATATCAGATTGAGTTAACTAAGTTGTGATTGAAAAAATATTAGGTTAGAACTCCGAATGCATTTGGAGTCTAATAGCAGAGCACCACGTGTCAAGTGGACCCCATAAATTTTAGCACTGATCGATCCCAGTGTATTATGATGGGCCCACTTGACACGTGGTGTCCCATCATTGAACTTCATGTGCAAATTACGTGGACTCCAAATGTAATATTTGATCATTGTGATTAGCTTAAATTCTTAACTTTTATTGTACTATCTTTTGGCACTTGAACTCCTCAATGGCTTTCTGACACGATTCTACTGCACAAGCATATCACAGATTTGGTTAAGTAGAGTGTATTTTGGCTATATATAATGTAATTAAGAATAATGAGAGTAAGGCAACAACGATCTAGCCATGATAGACAAGCAATAATAGTAATTTGATGATGATGATCGAGCAATAATGGCGAAGTGGTATGGTGATTGTCATATATGGCTTCACATTTTCTTAAATTATTAAACTCTCTAATTTGTGATCTTTCTCATGAGAAGAACATAAGTCGTGAATTTACAATTTTTAAAATGGCATTTTACTAATTCAAGTTGAAATCTCCCAGCATAGACGTCCCATGTTGATTCTCTTGATCATAGATTGTTCAAAAATCAATCAAGCAATGTTCATTTGAGCTAAGGCTTGAGCTCAATTCTAGCGTTTGTACTTTGTAGTACCATTCAATCAATGTTCATTTAAAACTATGCTATTTAATCTAATTTTGGTCTGAACATTAGGTAATCAAACAAATCTTTTGAACATATTAACAAGTACCACTATCAAGCAGCTTGTTATTTTTTTGAGTAAGCCTCATCAAGCATATTAATGAGAAGATTATAAGCAATAAAATAAGACTTTAATCAAATGAAATAGAAACTAAGTGGTTTAATAAGTGTAAGAAATTACTTATATTCTTGAATGAAAGTCATATAATATATAAAAAATAAGGCTTAATTTTACATAACCAAATATAAATAAAAATTACAATCCAATCTTAAATTAGCATCTTATTAAGATGTTATTGAGATCATTAATTTTTTGGTTCATGAGCTTTTAAGTGACACTTTTCATGGTCATAATTGAATGAATAACTAAGTTGTGCAAGCATATTAATTGCTAATTAAATGACAATAAAAGAAGTATGATCAACTCAAATCATGAGTTGCTTGTCAAGTTTATTAGTTTATCTATGGCATACATTAACTATAAGTTTGTTAAAAGTGAACTTTGTATGGTCCTGAGATAAGTTACAATAATTTCTAACTCAAACATTGCATTAAGTTTCATGTTTAATTAGATGGAGTTTCTAAAGTCCTATCAAATATTTAAAAAGTTAATATTATAACATTTATTCTTTATAAATTATTTTAACTCTTAAGTTACATTTTTTTGCTTTTCTTATAATTCAAATTACATAAGAAATAATAATAAGATCAAAAAAATTTTAAACATATTTATGAATGCATTATTCCACAATATTGGTATAGCTATTTTTTCACATTACTTTAATCAAAATTAGATGGAGATGCCATTATTGTTTCCCATTAGGCAATCAAATTGTTATTTTCAAATATTCTCTAATCTTTTCATCTATATGTGACATTTGGTGACTTTAATAGTTATTATTATTATTATTATTATTATTATTATTATTATTATTATTATTATTATTATTAAAATATATTGATAAAAAATGATAAAACATAAGAAAATAAAAAACTAACAATTGATAACACTCTCTTTTTATTTTGAAAATATTGATTGATTACATCACTATTAAAACCATGTAATATATTTTTCTCTATATAAATTCTTTGAAGATCATTCATGCATCAATCTTTAATTATAATTTAAATTTAATTTTCTATACATAGTTAATACTCTTTCAACACAAGTTAAACAATTATTAATTTTAATTGTTTGAAAATTAGGTGATACAAAGTAACCTCCTTGCTTTGAAAAATTTTCTCAGAAAAGATTATAGTATATTTTGACTATGTAAACCATGCATCAAACCATATATTTAGGTTAATATATGTTTTTAAATAATTATCAAGAATCATCAAATTTACTAGGTCAAGATCATTTGGATAAAGGTGTGCCTTGTTGATTAAATTGTCCTTATTGAATAAATAGTGTTTTACAATTTAATAGGCTTTATGATAAGAAAATGTGTCAATGCTACTAATGATTTATTTTAGATATTTCATGAAATCTCCAAGCTCAGCTCAATCAACCATTTCAATGGACCATAATAGAAAATGGGTTGACAACATTGGTGAGCTAAATCTTGCCTAGTTTAAAAATAAAGTTGCCCACAATTAAATACAAATATATAAAATTATTTCATATAATGTGATTTACTTAAAAGCCAAAATTTCATTTTTTTAGATAATCACTTCAAAAATTTTATTAATTATTTATAGATAAGTATGTTAGCACTTGTATTATCTCAAGTAATATCCATAATCAATTCAAGTGAGGGTTTTGTGAGAAAGAGTGTATGTTCAGTGAAGAATCCTAGTCAGGAGTTGGCTATGTGTGGTTGTAGGTTAGGGGGTTGAACAACTTTTTTAAAAATTATGTCTCTTGTGCTACTCCTTTAAGTAATAACTTGGATAAAAATAAAAATACCTACAAATTAAATTTTGTACTAATCAAAATGAAATTAAAGTTTAATTTATAAAAGCATTAAAGAGTACCCCTAATTTTGTTTATATTACCTTGATAAAATGATTATTCAACTTGACAATGTGTATTGAATGGGAGTATTGCTATGAACTTTAATATCATATTTTAATTTTTCTAATTTTTATTTCTCAATTTAAAAATTCATTCTTGTTAAATGCTTGAACATCTTAATTATCTTCCTTGTTCTTCTCTAGTAATAACCAAAACTCTATCTTTGCTCCAAAATTTACATTTAGAAAAGTTATGTCTGCGAGTCTGATGAGAGTCTCTCACTAAGTGAACTTCACCAAACTTGGTCTTGAATTATAGGCTGATGAGACACACACGCACACGATGCTAAATAAAAATGGTAAGGAATAAGATTAAGACCAACTAAATATTAATAAATTTATTTGCTTATTGATAAATTAAAAATTGTAATTTTAATGAACTTTGAAGGCTAATTTTCCTGCAAAATAATATATTTTTTTTTCGCCTTCTCCTTTCACCATCAATTATTATCCCTTCATTACAATGTGTTGCCCTAGATAAAAAAAAATAGAGGAAGAGCAAGGACATTGATGCGCGCTAGAAAATTCACGGTAGTAGAGTAGAAGATTATGGTCTTAATTTGGAACGAAGAATCAACACACACTTAGAAAAGTGAAGCAACTAATAATGACATCAAAAGTTATAACTTCGACTGGCGGCGACCGACGACAATTGGTTGCGTCCAGTCGGTGTTCAGCAGTGGTCGGTCGAGGGTGGTTGGCAGTGATCGACGGTGGTTGGTGTGGTTGGTGGTGGTTGACAGCGACAGGGGTGCTCAACGATGATCAGTAGTTGTTGGCGGTAGTTGTTGACGATCGATAGTGGTCGACGACGGCAGGAGTGGTGCTGAACTTCAATGTCTTCTCAAAGCTTCAAGTTTTTTTTTAAACCTCAAACTCTCCCCCATCATGAGAGGTGTGAGGGTATATTTATAGAGTTTTGAGTGCAATTAATTAATGAATATGAATTATTTTGATCAGACGACTCAAAGGGCTTCCTTCAATCGAACGATATTTGATGAACATTTAAATCTCTTAAGACATTAGAATTGAGTGATCTTGGGCTCGTTGGACTAGTCTTGTCATGGTGCTCAATTTGACTATAGACTCATCAAAATCGACATTCGTTTAACTTTCCAAATATATCATGAAAACTTTCAAAAGTGATTTAATGGCTTGACCTGGATTGATTTGGAACAGATTGGGCCAATTTTGATAACATTGGGTTCTTCTTGTCGATCCGGTCAATTTGACTATAATTTTGCTAAAATAAAATTTCATGACGACTTTTTATCAATGTTTGCTAAAAAAAGTCGTCTTGAGATTCGCATTATATATCGATATTCGTGAAAAATTATTGGAAGTGTTCATCCAATTAAATTTAGGTTTCGGGAACAAAATATTTCTAAAAAAAAAAATAAAATTCTGCTTTATCATGTTTAAAATTATTCTGATATTTTTATTTGAGTACTCTTTTATCTGCCTAAAAAATGACGGGTTCGAGAAAGAAAAAAAAAGGTTAATTGTGATAGAAATAAGAAAGAAAAGGGGTGCCACAAATGTAACAGCTAAAAATCAATGAACATACTAGTAATAGTTGGGCCAACTATGTGGCCGTGCCAATAGTACATAGTAAGTTAGATTGTGTGCACAACATCATGACACTGGTAGCTAGCCACTAATCATTTGTGGCAATGTATCAGACTAAATCATTAACTTGCATAAGATGCCATGGAATCATATGAAGTGCTTTGATCCAATTGCCTAACAGGTTGGGTTAGCCAGATGCCTTGAATCGGTTCATAATTAAATAAATTTGCTGCTCATATCCCTATTTATATATTTCTAAGATTATTAACAGTATTATTAAATATACAATAAATCCTAATTTAAATCCTAACAATAAAAAAAACTAGGAAGCAAATGCAAGTTCTCATTTTTCTACCTAGATAATGATTTAAAAAGTTATTTTTGTGAAGAAATAATGTAAATATCCCAAGTTCTTAGTTTAAGTTTTGTATAAAGTTGTTAGAACCTTCCAGAATGTTCTTGGGACTTTAAAAGAGATTTTGGAAGATTCTTATAGAATGTTAATCTAAATGAAAATCAATTTTTTTTGCATGTTTTATATTATCAAATTTCCTATGTAGTTAAAATTTTTTATTTCTTAGCATTCAGAATGTACATAGAAAATGTGTTAGTTCTGATCCTGAGGAGGTCTAATGGCCTAGAGGAGAAAGTACAACGAGAGAGGACATACCGATAAAAAACGTGTGACCCACTTATCTGATTGAATGTGATCGTTCGAGTTAAAGCCAATAATGAGAAAACCAACCAAGCCACGATGAGGACAAAAATATGACCAAATG